AGAGCAAGATTGAGTAGGCAAAAAACATAATTCCAATATACTTAAGCAAATGGCAAATAAAGGAGTGTTTCATTTCACACAGGGATTTGCTGGCCCAGGACGAAAATCCATGGCATTGAGAGCATGAATGCTATTTTGGTGACTGCAAAGAACAGTGACCCTGCTAATGAAATCATCGTTCTGTCCCCCTTTCCCATGGCTCCATGCAGCTCCAGCAGCCAATTCCCCCAACCACCATTCCGGGCCCCCTAGCCGACCTGGGGAAACACAAGCTGATCCGGGAGCAGCTGTTGCTCCTGCTGCATGCCCGCATGTGCCAGCAACACAAGCAGACCAACAGGGAGGAGTGGTCATGCTCCAGGCCCCAGTGCCGCACCATGAGGAAGGTCCTAAAGCACATGGACAGCTGCCAGGCCGGCATGTCCTGCCAGGGTGAGTGCAAGGACCGCACTTCGTTTTCACTGGTGTGGATGGATTCAGGTTGGAGGAGGATTGATTTACCTTTCTCTCATGCCATGGTTGTGCAAAAAGTTTATGATTTGTGCCCCATTCCATTCATGAACTAGGATTTGAATGGGAATGACAGGAAGAAGAATTTAATTAATTTCACTTCAAAACAATTCAGTGCAAATACGGAATATCATTTAACTTAGTAAAACATAAATAATTATATAATTAATTTACTTTCTAGATGGAATACACTATATGGACAAAAGTATTGAGACACACATCTTGATCATTGAGTTTGGGTGTTTCATTTAGACCCATTGCCACAGTCAATCAAGCATCTAACCATGCAGTCAGGTTTACAAACATTGTGAAAGAATGCTTCAAGAATGCCTGAAGGCCTCAGTGAATTCAAGCATGGCACTGTCATAGGATGCCTTCTTTGCAATAAGTCAATATAGTATTTCAAAGTCAGATATTTCATGGTTAATTGTAAATGGTATTATTGCAAAGTGGAAGCATTTAGGAACAACAGAATCTCAGCCCCAAAGTGGCAGATCATGTAATGTAACAGAGTGGGGTTGCTGAGTGCTGAGGCACATACTGTAGTGCATAAATGTCACCAATCTTCTGCTAATTCAATAACTGCAGAGTTCATTATTTCATTTTGGTGCTCCTATTTTCGTATGTTTAGAAAAATAAGTTTTGTCTTTCAGTTCAACCATAGTGCTACAGCAAAAAGCAAAACATGGAAGATGAAATTGTGCTTTATTCTAGTACACTTGGCTACATTTGATCAGCAGAAAATATTTAAAGGTTTTATGATTTAGATTGCAACATTCTGACCTGATTTTTATTTCCTGCCACACTGAAGGTTCCCTCAATAGGTAGAGAAAAATCTGGTATTACAAGGTATTTGCAGGTATGTTGCTCTCGCTTAGTTTGTTTTCCAGTCGGCCAATGGGTTGGCATCCCTCTGCTAAACATGGGTGACTCAGGTATACAGTGACATTATGTGAAGCTTTGCTGACAGGTGAGGGAGTAGTTTGACTTTCAGTGAAAAAAAAAAAAGTTTGGAACATTTCTTTGATTGGGCACTGCAGTCATTGTAGCCAGCGCTGAGTTTTGGGCAGAGACACGCAACTTATTCTCTAGGTGACACTAGGGTTGCAGGGATTAACCAGTTTGACTATTAACCACGGTGTGAAACATTGCGGTTAACCCACCGTTAAGACTTCTCCAACACCGCCAAAAAAAAAAAATCCACCGGAACCAAAGACATAAAATAACACGACCTGCACGGACGAAAACTATACAAAGTGAAGCACACACAAAATACCCCTAGCAGATCATAACAGAAGGAGAACGAGAGACAACCAAAAATGGGACTACTCTATATCCACCTAGGAAGCGCTTGACGTCTCCTGTGTGGGAGTATTTTGGATACCCAAAAGATGCTAAAGGAGAAATCCAGGACGATGGGTCACCCATTTGCAGAGCTTGCAGAAAAAAAAGTTGCGGCAGTGGTTATGAAAGAAAAAAAGTTTCACGAAATGTAGCGTCTCATTTTAAT